AGAGAGAGAGAGAGAGTTTAAGTGGGTGATGAGGAGAAGAGGGGGGCGAGAGAGACAGAGAGTGAAGGTATGTGTGTGTGTGTGTGTGAGAGAGAGGCAGAGGAAAAGAATAGAGATTTGTAGATGGAAAGAAGCAAAGTGAGTCGTGCAGGTGACATATTCAGTGGAGTAGATGGAGGTCACATCCGTAGGTGTCATTACTTCCTGCCATAGCTGATTATGTCCCAGCCACTTTATGGAATAGCTTATGACAAGTATATGTCTGATACAGACACAGAGACATCTCTGACGGTCAAGCAGAAGTTTTCGTTACATTTATGCATGTCATAATCAGTGGCTGTGAATGGTTGTGCTCCAGTCTAGCATTTTTCCATGGCTGGATATCCGTTCAGTGAAACAACAGAACAAAATGTAAATAAATGTGTGTCAACTTCTGATATACATCCTCCACTGACATGCAGCAGCAACTTGGGTTTATAAAAATAAAAAAAGGAACGGATTATCTGTTTATTTCTGCTTTTTGACAACACTAGCAAGAAATGATTAGACTAATAAAAGCATAATATCTAGTGTGAATATTTTATTAATACTTGTAATGATATCAGTAATAATAATAACAATAACAATAATACAAATAAAATATTTCTGATGAACATGATTGATCTTTTTTGTTATTTTTTTGTATCATAGTATTGTTAATAAAAATGTTTCTATTAGTATATATTTTTTGTTAGTATCATATAGTAATTATTATTACCTATAATTTATTATTATTACATTCAGAATTTTAGATCTAAATGGTCACAAATGTACTTTCTTCTGTTTTGGCCAGCCTAGCTATCAAACACTGCTCAAGTTACATGTGGCTCAGTTGAGAATGAATAGGTGTAAAATTATGAAAAAAAAAAAACGTATCTATGCAAACAATGTGTTACTTTTCCTGTGAACACCACTATTTCCTGTTGAACACAGTTTGTTGTAATAACATGAGTGCTATTTAGAGACCCACCAAGTTCTATCAGTAAACCCAATATTAAAGAACATACAAACTGAATAAATAGAAAAAAAATGTAAATTCTAAAAATTATCAGCTTATCTCTACTTTTACTGGCAAAAAGGATTGCTCACTCAATCAGAACCAAAGACTGGCCAGGATGGTTTAATAGGTGTCCAACAAAATAGTAAAGTTGACTAGCAAATCTAATAGCAGAAGGAATACTCACATACAGTATTTGAGAGATGCAACTTCTTGAAGAGTGAGCATTTATTGTTCAAAATAGTGAACTGCACAAATGTCATGTGTGTGTGTGTGAGAAACAGTACTCATGTTCACATGACCCCCCCCCAACTTCTAATCTAA